AAAAAAGTTCTGATATTACTAAGGACCAAAGATCTTTGGCTATGGAATCCATAATTTATCATCTACATACTATGGAGCTCTTCTAAATTTTCTGGACAAGAAGAAGCATGATGAATAAGGGCTTATGTTCATTACATATTTTCCCATGATGTCTAATAGAAAGTAAAGAATGAGTTGGTCTTGGGTAAATCTTGGAGAAGAAAAATTTGGAGAACACTTTAATAATTGCATGATTTTATGTAAATAGGCTATGTCAAAATGGCACAAAGATGTTTTCAGAAAAACAGATCACCAGGTTTAACCTCTGAATATTCATATGTAGTAAGTCTGGTAGAGTACCTGGGAATCAGATAAACAAGTTGGAAATCACTAGTTGTGAGAGAAAATAAATGCCAGTCTAAGGTAATAATAGTAGAAATGGAGAATTCATTAAAAGGGTTTCCCAAGGGCAACATCAGTAGTATTTGGATTCCAGACATGAAAAGCAAGACAAAGAGATATACTGAATCAAAGATGATTCCGAAATTGTCACCTAATAGGTACACAACAAATCCTGATTAACTGATTCAATGCCATTAACATTTTAAAGTTAGATTTCAGTAGAACAATAGAAGGAAGAATTGAAGAAATTCAAACTGTTAGTCCTTAAACATATAGAGAGAATGGGAAAGAACAAAATTATACCAGAATAACAAACCCCTAACCTCCCCTGTGATGACTGGTAATTTATCACTGGCAATCAACTACACGGGAAAAAAAAGTATAATCAGGGAGGAACTGATCACATTTAATTTCCCTAGATGCATAGCTCAAGAAAGCAGAAATAGAAGGATCTTCAAGATGGCAGAGGAGTAAGACATGGAGATGACCTTCCTCCCCACAAATACCTCAAGAATAATCTACATGTGGAACAACTCCTACAGAACACCTAATGAACTCTGGAAGAAGACTTCACACTTCCCAAAAAGCAAGAAACTCCCCATGTACCTGGATAGGGTAAAAGAAAAAAGAAAAAACAGAGACAAAAGAATAGGGGCAGGAACTGCACCTCTGGGAAGAAGCTGTGAAGGAGGAAACGTTCCCACGCACTAGGAAGCCCCTTCACTGGTGGAGACGTGGGGTGGCAGGAAGGAAGCTTCGGAGCCAGCGCAGCAACAGGGGTACAGAAGGCAAAGTGGAGAGATTCCCACACAGAGGATCAGTGCCAACCAGCACTCACCAGCCTAAGAGGCTTGTCTGCTCACCCTCTGGGGTGGGTGGGGGATGGGAGCTGAGGCTCGGGCTTCGGAGATCAGATCACAAGGAGAGGACTAGGGTTGACTGTGTGAACACAGCACGAAGTGGGGTAGTGTGCCACAGCTAGCATACTACAGCTAGCTGGGAGAGCATCTGGGAACAAGTCTGGAACTGCCTAAGCGGCAAGAGACCACTGTTTCGGGGTGCGTGAGGAGAGGGGATTCAGAACACTGCCTAAACGAGGTACAGAGATGGGTGCGAGCCACAGCTATCAGCTCAGACACCAGAGATGGGCATGAGGCTAAGGCTGCTGCTGCAGCCACCAAGAAGCCTATGTTCAAGCACAGGTCACTATCCACACCGCTGCCCCCGGGAGCCTGTGCAGCATGCCATTGCCTGGGTCCCATGATCCAGGAAGAACTTCCCTGGGAGAACACATGGCACACCTCAGGCTGGTACAACGTCACGCTGGCCTCTACCGCCGCAGGCTGGCCCCGCATTCCGTACCCCTTCCTCCCCCAAGCCTGAGTGAGCCAGAGCCACCTAATCAGATGCTACTTTAACTCTGTCCTGTCTGGGTGGGGAACAGACACCCTCAGGTGACCTACAGGCAGAGGCAGCGCCAAATCCAAAGCTGAACCCCAGGAGCTGTGAGAAATAATAAGAGAAAGGGAAATCTCTCCCAGCAGCCTCAGGAGCAGCAGATTAAACCTCCACAATCAATCAACCTGATGTACCCTGCATCTGTGGAATACCTGAATAGACAATGAATCATCCGAAAATTGATGTGGTGGACTTTGGGAGCAACTGTAGACTTGGGGTTTCCTTTCTGCACCTCATTTGTTTTGGTTGTATGTTTACCTTAGTTAAATAGTTAGAGCTTATTGTCATTTGTAGATTATTTATTTGGTTGCTTTCTTCCTTTTATATATTTTTTTTTTCCTTTTTCTCTTTTTGTGAGTGTGTATGTGTATAAGTCTTTGTGTGATTTCATCTGTATAGGATTGCTTTTACCATTTGTCCTAGGGTTCCGTCTGTCCGTTCTTTTGGTTTTATGGGTTCTTTTTATAGTATAGTTTCTAGTGCTTGTTATCATTGGTGGATTTGTTTCTTGCTTTGGTTGCTCTCTTCTTTCTTTCTTTTTTAATACTCTTTTATTTTAAAAAATATTTTTTATTTTAATAATTTTATATTATTTTATTATTTTTTCTCTTGTACTTTCTTCCTTTTTCCTCCCTTTTCTTCTGAGCCATGTGGCTGACAGGGTCACGATGCTGTGGTTGGGTGTCAGGCCTGAGCCTCTGAGGTGGGAGATCCGAGCTCAGGACACAGGTCCACCAGAGACCTCCCAGCCCCACATAATATCAAATGGCAAAAGTTCTCCCAGAGATCTCCATCTCAATGCTAAAGCCCAGCTCCACTCAATGACCAGCAAGCTACCATGCCGGACACCCTATGCCAAACAACTAGCAAGACAGGAACACAAACCCACTCATTAGCAGAGAGACTGCCTAAAATCATAGTAATTTCACAGACACCCCCAAAACACACCACCGGATGTGGTCGTGCCCACTAGAAAGACAAGATCAAGACTCATCCACCAGAAAAGAGGCACCAGTCCCCTCCACCAGCAAGCCTCCACAGCCCACTGAACCAAACTTACCCACTGTGGGCAGACACCAAAAACAATGGGAACTACGAACCTGTGGACTGTAAAAAAAAGACCCCAAAAACAGTAAGTTAAGCAAAATGAGAAGACAGAGAAATACACAGCAGATGAAGAGGCAAGGTAAAAACCCACCAGATCAAACAAATGAAGAGGAAATAGGCAGTCTACCTAAAAGAGAATTCAGAGTAGTGATAGTAAAGATGGTCCAAAATCTTGGAAACAGAATGGAGAAAATACAAGAAACTTTTAACAAGGACTTAGAAGGACTAAAGAGCAAACAAACAATGATGAACAATACAATAAATGAAATTTAAAATTCTCTAGAAGGAATCAATGGCAGAATAACTGAGGCAGAAGAATGGATAAGTGACTGGAAGATAAAATAGTGGAAATAAATACCACAGAGCAGAATAAAGAAAAAAGAATGAAAAGAATTGAGGACAGTCTCAGAGACCTCTGGGACAACATTCAATGCACCAACATTTAAATTATAGGGGTCCCAGAACAAGAAGAGAAAAAGAAAGGGACTGAGAAAATTTTGAAGACATTATACTTTAAAAATTCCCTAATATGGGAAAGAAAATAATCAAGTTCAGGAAGTGCACAGAGTCCCATACAGGATAAATCCAAGGAGAAACACACCAGGACACATACCAATCAGACTATCAAAAATTAAATACAAAGAAACTATTAAAAGCAGCAAGGGAAAAGCAACAAAAAACCTACAACCAAGATTACTCTACCCCGCAAAGATCTCATTCAAATTCGGTGGAGAAATTACAGACAAGCAAAAGCGAAGAGAATTCAGCACCACCAAACCAGCTTTACAACAAATGCTAAAGGAACTTCTCTAGGCAGGAAACACAAGAGAAGGAAAAGACCTGCAATAAGAAACACAAAACAATTAAGAAAATGTTAATAGGAATATACATATAAATAAATGTAAATGGATTAAATGCTCCAACCAAAAGACATAGACTGGCTGAATGGATAGAAAAACAAGACCCATACTTATGCTGTCTACAAGAGACCCACTTCAGACCTAGGGACACATACAGACTGAAAGTGAAAGAATGGAAAAAGATATTCCATGCAAATGGAAATCAAAAGAAAGCTGGAGTAGCAATTCTCATATCAGACAAAATAGACTTTAAAATAAAGACTATTACAAGAGACAAAGAAGGACACCACATAGTGATCAAGGGATCAATCCAAAAAGAAGATATAACAGTTGTAAATATTTATGCACCCAACATAGGAGCACCTCAATACATAAGGCAAATGCTAACAGCCATAAAAGAGGAAATTGACAGTAACACAGTAATAGTAGGTGAATATAACACCCCACTTTCACCAATGGACAGATCTTCCAAAATGAAAATAAATAAGGAAACACAAGCTTTAAATGATACATTAATCAAGATGGACTTAATTGATATTTATAGGACATTCCATCCAAAAACAACAGAATACACTTTCTTCTCAAGTGTTCATGGAACATTCTCCAGGATAGACCATATCTTGGGTCACAAATCAATCCTTGGTAAATTAAAAATAACTGAAATTGTATCAAGTATCTTTTCTGACCACAATATTATAAGACTAGATATCAATTACAGGAAAAAAAACTAAAACACAGTGAGGCTAAACAATACACTACTAAATAACCAAGAGATCACTGAAGAAATCAAAGAGGAAATCAAAATATACCTAGAAACAAATGACAATGAAAACATGACAACCCAAAACCTATGGGATGCAGAAAAAGCAGTTCTAAGAGGGAAGTTTATAGAAATACAATCCTACCTCAAGAAACAAGAAACATCTAAAATAAACAACCTAACCTTGCACCTAAAGCAATTAGAGAAAGAAGAATATAAAAAACCCAAAGTTAGCAGAAGGAAAGCAATCATAAAGATCAGATGAGAAATAAATGAAAAAGAAATGAAGGAAACGATAGTAAAGATCAATAAAACTAAAAGCTGGTTCTTTGAGAAGATAAACAAAATAGATAAATCATTAGCCAGACTCATCAAGAAAAAAAGGGAGAAGACTCAAATCAGTAGAATTAGAAATGAAACAGGAGGGGACTTGTGCGGTCTCGTCTGATCCCAGTGGGTCCGGGCCGAACCAGGGCCTAGCAGGTTCGAAGAGAAGAGAGGTGTACTCAGCAGGTCCCTGATGAACCAAGGGAACCCTCCACCGTATCCAGGCCCCGGTCCGACGGCTCCATACCCACCTTATCCACAGCAACCGATGGGGCCTGAGGTCTACCCTCCAGGACCTATGGGGGGACCCTACCCACCTCCTCAGGGGTACCCCTACCAAGGATACCCACAGTATGGCTGGCAGGGCGGACCTCAGGAGCCTCCTAAAAGTACAGTGTATGTGGTGGAAGACCAGAGAAGGGATGACCTGGGCCCATCTACCTGCCTCACAGCCTGCTGGACTGCCCTCTGTTGCTGCTGTCTCTGGGATATGCTCACCTGACCACCCCGGCTCTCCTGTCCTGCCAGCTCTGCCGCCACCGCCAACAAGTGTGCCTGCCCCCATCTCTTCTGATTGCTGAAATCGATGACTAGCTCTGCACAGACACTTCTACCTTCAACGCAGTGGGATTCTAGATTAGCAGGGGTTGCTGCTGTTTAATTCAGTGACTTGATCTTTTTAATGTTCAGATCCATTTATTGGTCTCTCACAAATGTGCTAAATGACTTTCATTTTTTTGGCCAAAGCCTTAGTGACAAAATATATATTTATAATTTCAAAATTATACATTCAAGGTAGTGGCATGATATAACATACCACTGAATGATTTCTCTGCTAACACCCTGTATGTTTCAATAAATTTGTCTAAACTTAAAAAAAAAAAAAAAAGAAATGAAACAGGAGAAGTAACAACAGACACTGCAGAAATACAAAGGATCATGAGAGATTACTACAAGATTACTTGTTATAGGCCAATAAAATGGACAACCTGGAAGAAATGGACAAATTCTTAGAAAAGCACAGCCTTCCAAGACTGAACCAGGAAGAAATAGAAAATATAAACAGACCAATCACAAGCACTGAAATTGAGACTGTGATTAAAAATCTTCCACAAACATAAGCCCAGGACCAGATGGCTTCACAAGCAAATTCTATGAAACATTTAGAGAAGAGCTAACACCTATCCTTCTCAAACTCTTCCAAAATGTAGCAGAGGGAGGAACACTCCCAAATTCATTCTATGATGCCATCATCACCCTGATAACAAAACCAGACAAAGATGTCACAAAGAAAGAAAACTACAGGCCAGTATCACTGATGAGCACAGATACAAAAATCCTCAACAAAATACTAGCAAACAGAATCCAACAGCACATTAAAAGGATCATACACCATGATCAAGTGGGGTTTATTCCAGGAATGCAAGGATTCTTTAATATACACAAATCAATCAGTGTGATAAACCATATTAACAAATTGGAGGATAAAAACCATATGATCATCTCAATAGATGAAGAAAAAGCTTTTGACAAAATTCAAGACCCATATATAATAAAATCCCTCAACATAATAAAAGCCATATATGACAAACCTACCACCACCATTGTTCTCAATGGTGAAAAACTGAAACCATTTCCACTAAGATCAGGAACAAGACAAGGTTGCCCACTCTCACCACTATGATTCAACATAGTTGTGGAAGTTTTAGCCACAGCAATCAGAGAAGAAAAAGGAACAAAAGGAATCCAAATCAGAAAAGAAGTAAAACATGTCATGATACTATACACAGAGAATCCTAAAGATGCTACCAGAAAACTACTAGAGCTAATCAATGAATCTGGTAAAGTAGCAGGATACAAAATTAATGCACAGAAATCTCTGGCATTCCTATACACTAATGATGAAAAATCTGAAAGTGAAATTAAGGAAACACTCCCATTTATGTTTGCAACAAAAAGAATAAAATAGGAATAAACCTACCTAAGGAGACAAAAGACCTGTATGCAGAAAATTATAAGACACTGATGAAAGAAATTAAAGATGATACAAACTGAGTGGTATACAAGGTTCTTGGATTGGAAGAATCAACAGTGTGTAAATGACTCTACTACCCAAAGAAATCTATAGATTCAATGCAATCCCTATCAAACTACCAATGGCATGTTTCACAGAACTCGAACAAAAACTTTCACAATTTGTATGGAAACACAAAAGACCCCGAATAGCCAAAGCAATCTTGAGAAAGAAAAACAGAGCTGGAAGAATCAGGCTCCCTGACTTCAGACTACACTACAAAGCTACAGTAATCAAGACAGTATGGTACTGGCACAAAAACAGAAAGATAGATCAATGGAACAGGATAGAAAGCCCAGAGATAAACCCACGCACATATGGTCACCTTATCTTTGATAAAGGAGGCAAGAATATCCAATGGAGGTAAGACAGCCTCTTCAATAAGTGGTGCAGGGAAAACTGGACAGCTACATGTAAAAGAATGAAATTAGAACACTCACTAACACCATATACAAAAATAAACTCAAAATGGATTAAAGACCTAAATGTAAGGCCAGACACTATAAAACTCTTAGAGGAAAACATAGGCAGAACCCTCTATGACATAAATCACAACAAGATCCTTTTTGACCCACCTCCTAGAGAAATGGAAATTAAAAACAAAAATAAACAAATGGGACCTAATGAAATTTAAAAGCTTCTGCACAGCAAAGGAAACCATAAACAAGACAAAAAGACAACCCTCAGAATGGGAGAAAATATTTGCAAACAAAGCAAATGACAAAGGATTAATCTCCAAAATATACAAGCAGCTCATGCAGCTCAGTATCAAAAAAGTAAATGAAATCCAAAATGGGCAGTAGACCTAAACAGACATTTCTCCAAAGAAGATATATAGATTGCCAACAAACATATGAAAGGATGCTCAACATCACTAATCACTAGAGAAATGCAAATCAAAACTACAATGTGGTATCACTTCACACTGGTCAGAATGGCCATCACCAAAAGAGCTACAGACAATAAGTGCTGGAGAGGGTGTGGAGAAAAGGGAACCCTCTTGCACTGTTGGTGGGAATGTAAATTGATACAGCCACTATGGAGAACAGTATGGAGGTTCCTGAAAAAACTAAAAATAGAACTACTATACGACCTAGCAATCCCACTACTGGGCATATACCTTGAGAAAACCATAATTCAAAAAGAGTCATGTACCACAATGTTTATTGCAGCACTATTTACAATAGCCAGGACATGGAAGCAACCTAAGTGTCCATCAACAGATGAATAGATAAAGAAAATGTGGCACATATATACAATGGAATATTACTCAGCCATGAAAAGAAATGAAGTAGAGTTATTTGTAGTGAGGTGGATGGTCCTAGAGTCTGTCATACAGAGTGAAGTAAGTCAGAAAGCGAAAAGTAAATACCATATCCTAACACATATATATGGAATCTAAAAAAAGAAAAACATGTCCTGCTCTGAAGAACCTAAGGGCAGGACAGGAATAAAGATGCAGATGTAGAGAATGGACTTGAGGACATGGCGAGGGGGAAGGGTAAGGTGGGAAGAAGTGAGAGAGTGGTTGGACATATATATGCTACCAAATGTAAAACAGATGGCTAGTGGGAAGCAGCCGCATAGCACAGGGAGATCAGCTCAGTGCTTTGTGTCCACCTAGAGGGGAGGCATAGGGAAGGTGGTAAGGAGATGCAAGAGGGAGGAGAAATGGTGATATATGCATATGTATAGCTGATTCACTTTGTTATACATCAGAAACTAACACACCACTTTAAAGCAGTTATACTCCAATAAAGATGTTAAAAAAAAATAAGAGAAAGCAGAAATACTTTGATATTATCAAGTATAAATTATTCCTAACATGAGTTTTGAGGGAATTATTTTCTCGCTACTGGCAGTCTTCATTTGTGTTAATCCTTAAAATGGGTTAGTCTGGAAGCAGTGAAGATAGAAAGAAAAATCAATTTGTAGTGCATGACCATGAGTCATGACATTGTCTTTTTTTTTTTTTTTTTTTTTTTTTTTTATATTAACTCCTAATGAGTGAACTACTTTGTGGTATGAGGGAGGGATGTACTAACAACCTCAATGGATTACCTCAAGGAAGTCTTTTATTCTTCCTCAGCTTTTTCTTTACCTAGAAAGACAGGGAATTGGACTAAATAATCTGAATCTATTCTTCTAACCTACTTCTTCAGTATCAGCTGAATGACTGATAATCATTTTTTTCTTCATTTATTTGGCTGTGTTAGGTATTAGCTGTGGCATGCGGGATCTCTGTTGCGGCATGCAGGATCTTTCATTGTGGTGTGCGCGCTCTTTGTTGTGTGTGGGCTCCAGAGCATGCAGGCTCAGTAGTTGTGGCACATGAGCTTAGTTGCCCCATGGCATGTGGATCTTACTTCCCTGACCAGGGCTTGAACCCACGACTGCTGCATTGGAATGTGGATTCTTAACCACTGGACCACTAGGAAAGTCCCAATAATCTTAAATTACCAAATGTTTATATTAGAAGTAATGAAATGTGAGAGGCTCATAAAAAGCCCAGGAAAAAAGGATAATATATATTAAAATGATTGTCCAATTCTTTCCTTTCTATGAATTAATGTTTATTATTTATTCTTGGAAAAACAGAGAGAAAGGATGTTAATATCATTATTATTATCATCACTTTTTTAAAGAGTTTGACAATTCAGTATTTGTCATTATTATTTTTAAAAAATGCTGTTATGTAAATTTCATTAGCACAAATAAACCTTCAATTTCCTCAGGGAGCTCCCAGGTATAAATTAGACTTTTCCTATAGGATAGCTGGCTAATCATTTATTACATCCATTAAAATGAGTAAATTTTATTTTTGAGAGGGAGAAAGATGAAAATAATAATTAACATATCATTCTAATTTAAACAGTTATTAATTTCAGTCAACTGTATAAGCACATACTTTTGTGACACACAAACATGCCTATGTCTTGCATCCATACACTTAATGTTTCCGTTACAGGATTATGCACAGAGGCATCTCTACTGATAGAAAGGGACAGGAATAGATATTCCATAACTCCCAGTAGTTGCTTCTTCTCACAGATTTACCATTTCTTCCTCATTAGTCTTCCTCAGGGTTTTCCCTTCCAATGGCCACCTATATTTCACTCTTACTATCCACTAGAGTGTGTGCTTACTGCTAGCTTCCTCCCACCTCTCTTTAGGCTGCATGAATGCACCAAGAGGTAGCACATATCCAACTGTGATTGGCCATGGGACCACTGGCTCTATGTGTTCGGTTCGGCCATTTTGGATACCACAGAAAATGTGCAGATACACCTATGCAAGGAAACTCACGGACACACTATTTTTGCTTTGTTTACACATGGAACATATTGTTTTTGCTTCATTTATACAAAATATTTGGGTTGGGCCAAGGTGAGATTATCTCAGTCAGACAAGTGGAGTTAGGCAACTGTTTAAAAGTATTCTGTGTACTCTGGGCAGACTAATTCCCTAATTGCTAGAATCTTCAGGTTACTTCCTAACATTGTGAAATATTAAGGTTACTGAAACTGATGTCAGGGGTCTTAGGAGATCAGTTGGAAGGACTATAAGCCTGGTCCTGAAGTGTTTTTCAAAGATGCACAGACTAGTTTGATGGACTGAAAGACCTCCAAAGGAGACTGGGCTGAAAGAAAATATACAAGACTTCCTTGGACTGAAGTGAAGGGGGAAACGTGTGGTGGAGTGGGCCAGACAGATTATCAGGGCATAGCTAGTTAGAGGGAGCAGGGGAAGTTTCAAGTACATTACCGACTATACTTAACTTGCCCTTAGTACGTG